GGAAAATCAGACAGGTTTAGTAACAACTCTGATCATAAGCTAGCAAAGGGGAAAAGACTACATAGGAACCTACATCTGCTAATGCCCTGGAATCACAGGATTTGGGTTTGAGCCCATTGTGTATAGTTAAATTTCAGGGTGTAATCTTGAGTCAGCTCATTTTTTCTTCTATGAGACTCAGTTTCTTTATCTATAAAATGAAAAAAATACTTACGTTGATAAAAGAATTAATGAGATATAGCATAAAAGAACAGAAATACCGTAGGTATTCAAAAATAGTCATCTCCCCTATTATAGCTTGTGTTCATGTCTTAGAGGTTGGGTAAATTATAAAGCAAAGTTTACACAGCTTTTGATTCTGGAGGGTCAAGTCCGAGATAGTGCATCTGGTACAGGCCTTCTTGCTGGTAGGAACTCTGGAGTCCTGAGATTTCATAGGACATTGTATGGTGAGACAGAACAAACAAGGTCTCTCTTTCTCCTCCTATAAAGCCACTAATGAAATCATGGGGGTGCCACCCTCATGACCTCATCTAACCCTAATTATCTTCTGAAGGCCCCACCTTCAAATACCATTGAGATATGACTTCGGGATTAGGTTTCCAACCCATGAATTCCAGGATACTCCCAAACTATAGCAGGTAGTAAAGCCAATATAAGAACACAAGATCCCAACATTAGCAAAAACCACCTTCACCAGCGCTTTTTTGTTCTTTTGTTTTTAAGAAAGAAAAAGCCTGTTTTTGTATTGGTTTGTATATGATCATTTAAAAATTAAGTAAATTTACAGCTATCAAGTAAGTGGTCTGACCTGTAAGTAGAACACTTTGGGATGTGTATGTGTATGCTTACTACTGGGCATGGAATTTGAAGAAGAAACCAAGTTAAAATGAGGCCATTTAGGTCAAAACTGAGCCAACGATGCCCATTGTGTGTGAGGATATGTATTTAATTAAAGAATTCTGATATGAAGGTAAGTCTATTGACTTATAATTTTTAAAGCAATCATTATTCAGACATGATTAAAAGTACTTCTCAGTCACAATTATATCAAAATAAAATGTTTAATATTTTTTAAAATGACATACTATTCAAGAGCTAGCCACTCCTTCAATCAAAACCTCCTCCTTCAATTTTCTAGATAAATGACCTTGGCCAAACTCTCCAGACTCCCCAAACCTGTTTTCCTCATCTGCTAAATGACCACAATAATAACTACCTCACAATTTGCTTGTAAATAATAAACCCAATTACGTAAGTATAGTGCTTAATGATAATAACATTTACATAACATTTGCTACATGATAGTCATTAGTCTAAACTCTTGAATTATAATTATTTTTCTTATATGGGTTCCACAACAACCTTATGAAAAGATACTATTTTTATCTTCATTTGACTTATGAGGAAACTGAGACTCAGAGGTATTAAGTAACTTGCCCATGGTCAGATAGCTAGTAGTGGACCCAGTCATTCTGCTTCCCAAGAATATGCTTGTGACTATTATAGGATGCTGCCCCTGGATAAATGTTTGATATTAATACTTTTAATGGATTCAGGGAATAATGATCCCTTTAATTATGCATCATTTTATTTGTTTTTATTTTAAGAGAAATTTGTTCAAGAAACTAAATAAAACATAATCTGCAAATAGGAAAATTTACACAAAACAATGGAATGATGGTTTCTCTGATTTAACTTTAACTGTGAATTACACTTTTAACAAGTCACTGTGGTGATAAAAAATTGTAGCTGTTTGTCTTAGTTACTTTTCTCTTGTTGCTGAGACAAAATACCTGACATCCACAAGTTAAGGGAGTAAATGTTTATTTAGCTAAAAGTTTGTAGAGGGTTCAGTCCATCTTGGGCTAGCTCCAAGGGCATGGCACATAGGCATTGCAGAGGAGAAACAGTTCATGGCAGGCAGAAGGTAACAAAAACAAGGGAGAGGCAATCACAGCTCTTTTTGTCCCTTATATCTTATCCAAGCTACTTAGGGCAGGTAGAACTCACACCCTTAATCCTAGTGCCCTTGCGCCTAGCACTGCATCCTGAATCCATCCCAGGATCACACACCCTAGATCCAGTCACCTCTGGAAAAAGCCCCACCTAATACTGCATGAGGCTTTGGAGGACATCTAGACACAAGCCATAAAACTGTTATAAATGAAAGTAAATATTCTATTCAGTAAATATTCTATTCTATTCAAATATCACAGAGAAGAAAGGAATATGTTTATTGGGTAAAGAATGTATTTTTGGTTTTCAGGATGCGACATATATATTGTCTTACAGATATTTTTGTTTGGTTTTGGATTTTTATTTTTGTCTGTGGCAGTGCTGGGAATTTAAGAGCTCATATATCCTGGGCAAGGATTCAATCACTGAGGTACAGCCTCAGTGCTCCTAAGTCAAAGTGTACCTTGAACATAAAACATAATAAAAGTTTGAAACATTTTTGTTTAAAAATCATATCAATATATTTTTCCTCATCTTAGTGTTATATAAAAATATAATCATAGGATATGAGAAATCTCACTATCTCCTTAAATTTTCCACTGTGGATTGAACATATCTCATATTCATCTGTACCTCATCCAACATCCACTGAGTACATGGATCCACCTATGGTAGAAGACATCCAGAGAAAAATCACAACCCTCAGTTAAGGCACACAGAGATGGTAAACTAATTACAGTAGTGTGACTGGTGTTTCTACTGAGAGATTTGCTAGCTAGTAGTAACATGAGTGAGGAACATGGAAGGGCAATGATACCCAGGTGAGCAGTAATGGATGACAAAGGCTGGAAGGGTGAGGTAGGTTGAAAGTGAGTGCTTCCCAGAACGTAAATGAGAAAGGTATGGGGAACAGAACACCTCATGTGCAGTGACCTGGAACTTAGAGATTTTAGGGATTTTAACAGTAAGAGCCTAAACATGATCAGATCTATGTTTTAGAACTTTTCTTGGGATGAGTGTAGAAACTGAAATGAATTCAAGAAGTTTGGGGGGAAAGAAATAATTTCAGAGTCTAACTGCTATAGGAGAAAGTAGGAGGGTCTGCACAAAGGCTGTTGGTAGCAGAAACAGAAGGAAAAGGATTAAGGGTTATTCAGCTTGCCCTAGGTCCCAGTTCTTCCTAAGTAGTGCAAGAATCATTGTCTATTTTTCCTCTATCTAATATCCAACATGTATAATCTATTAATAATCAAGAACCAATTGGTGAAGACTAATACTTATTGTATTGATAATTTGTAAATAGGAAATAGTTCATCTGTAATAGTAAAGCACTATAACAGTGTTTTACATTCATTAGCTAATAGCTGCTCTAATAATAAAGAATCTGAGCCCCAGAGAGGTCACACAGCTGGTCAGCAGTGGAGACAGGTAGAAACCCCTGCTGTTTGAATCTTTAAACTTTATCCACCCACCCCCAAAAGGGCTTCCTATTTTCTCAGGTTTCACTCTCCTGGACTCCTGATCTTTTAATCTGAATTCTGTCCTTTCTTAAAAGATAAGCTCTTTTGCTCTCTCACTTTCTGAACAATGATCCAGTCCATTTCTTTTCATGTAATATTGGTCTTGAATCCATAGCAATGTCTGTCTTCTCACCAGTTATTTTCTCCTTAAATTTCAGCATTTTGGTTTTTGTATCTTCTAAATTTACTCATATTATTTTCCTGGAAAATTTAAAATATTTTGCTGTCCTTCTTTCCTTTGTGTTCATCAAAGTATTTTGCATTATTAACCATTCCTTTTTTTCCTCAAACTAGTTTTTCAAACTATTTCTCCCTAGAAGTGCTAGGAAACTCTTATTTGCCCAGCCCAGTCTTATGTTATTCCAGCAGTTCCTTTTTTGTCTCTTTCACCAGTTCTTTCAGACGGAGGAACTTCTTCTTTGTTGCACACATGCCATCACCAGTTTTTATGTTTCCTTTTATTTTATTTTTTGTCCTTTGCTATTCTATGTCAATATGATCCCTCTTACTCTTCACATTACAATCCCAATTATCATAATCAAATATAAGAATCTTCCTGTCTAAATGTCCAACATTTTTTCAAGACTCAGTTTCAAATTACCTTTGAAGACGTTTGCTCTCTTGGCTTGTCCACAACATGTATTTTATTTTACAGTCTTTCCAATATCTTTTCCCTGCTGAACTTGTCAGAAGCCCGAAGATCTCCTTTTGCAAGCAAAGAAACTTTACAAAGGATTCATTCCACTATTAGTCTTTTACAGAAGTTGTACTTCCCCCAAGAAAAAGATTAGATTTTTTTTGTCAAAATAAATGCCTATCAAACTGACAAAATCGAAACCTGCCAATATTAACGTGGAAAAAGAGACCAGTGGTTGAATTAATTCATCTCACAAGCTAGGAGTTCCTGGAGGGCAGGGATCCTTCGTCCCACACTAAGCTCTGAGCCTCCAAGCAAGTGTGATTCAGTGAGTAAACATTCCATTGAATCAACGACTGGCCCGGCTTCCAGGAACTCTGGAAGTCCTGTGCAAGTAGATGTTGAAAATTCTTGCAGGGCACTCTCAGGATGACACAGAAATCAACACTGATCGGAGACGCGAGTGCAGCAAGATTCGTGATGTTTCAGCTTTGAAAGGGTAGGATGCAGAGTTCTCAGGCCACAGAACAAGTTCACTTCCATTTCCAGTAACCGTACAACGGATCAAAAACACAACTAAGTAAACACAGTGTTCCTGGTTACTTTTGCCTTCCTCATCCCTACTTCAGTGATCATGAGGTGGTGGTTCATACAAAAAGTAAGGCAAAAGAGCAACATCGCTACTTTGCTCTTTTGTTTGCTTGCTTTGGGAAAGAGGGAGGTGGTAACCAAGCCCCCAAGCCTCTCTGTGCTACTCTCCTAACTCCCTCCTCATTGGCTGCCTGAGGCAAGTCTGGAAGGCAAAGGTCTAGAAGCCGGCCCCCTGGAGTCCCCGGGGGCAGGTGTCACAGTCCTGGGTTCCGGACGCTGTCTTGACAGTTTCATCCCCGCCCACTGGCAGGAGAGCGCCTGGCCAGGCTGCACGCTGGCGCGCAGGGGGCCATAAAAGCAGCTGCGGCGCAGAGACGCGGAGCTTGCACACTGCCTGCCAGTGCGAACCGTGACCACACCATGCATGTGAACGGCAAAGTGGCACTGGTGACCGGCGCTGCGCAGGGCATAGGCAGAGCCTTTGCAGAAGAGCTGCTGCATAAGGGCGCCAAGGTAAGCGCGGAGCTGGCCACTGAAACTTATCTCCCCCTCCAAACGCCCGGCCGCCCAGGGGTCCCGGGCGGTAGAGGGACTCGCAGCCTCCCCTCTTTGTCACTGCAAAATGTGCTCCGCTGAGGCTCTGGGGCAGACCTCGAAAACGGCTGCGATTGAACCTAAACTTCGCCGAGCGTCAGGTCTAGGAGGGGAGCGTCTTGTTTCTTTTTTTGCGCCTCTGTTTCATGAGCTGCTCAGGACCTTGATTCCTCTCCTGCTGTTACAGGTAGCGCTGGTGGACTGGAATCTTGAAGCAGGTGTAAAGTGTAAAGCTGCCCTGGATGAGCAGTTTGAACCTCAGAAGACTCTGTTCATCCAATGTGATGTGGCCGACCAGGAACAATTGAGAGGTAAGACAGGGGAATCAACCCATCAACTTGAAACACACCCTGAACAAGCAACAGCCTGAAGGCAGCCTGGGCCAGAGAGGTGGCAGAGGCACAGCGCCAGCAGGCTACCTTTAAGCTCCAGAAGATGGCTTGGACTGTTACCCTTCCTATTGACAACCAGTGGTCATAAAAACTAAGGAGAGACAGGATTGCCTGAGAAATCCTTTTATTTTAGTCATTTGGCAGCACATAATGTAATCAAAACTCCTTTGTGTAATCAAAGACACCGCTGCTACAGTAATTATTAAATGATTGCAATTGCTGACTGACCTTGGAAGTTTAAATTGGCTAGGGCACTTCAGCAAACAACCTCTCTCTGAAAGCTAGAAGACAGAGTTCAATGACAATCAAATGTGGCTATGTTTATCTTTAGAATGTATCAGAATATAAATTCAAGGATCATGATCACAGAGATCCCAGAGGCTTTTTAGCCATGTGTTTTCTCTGGCCTTCCCCCTGTGAAATAGTATTTTAAAATAAGAATAATAGCACTTTGTTAGAATGGCAGAAGAAAAGTCTCTATCAGCTTTTCCTCAATGCTTTCCTGTTTCTGTGTGCTCACTTAAAATAGACCATCTACTTGTGAAATATAAGGAACAACATTGGTGTGGACAGAGAGCAGCTCTGCTCATATCGTATACAGGGCCTGATTGATTTGCATGAAAAAAATTATTTTCCTAAGGAAAATAGAAAAAATAAAACGTTTACATTTCACAAAATTTTATTCAGAGATTGAGTGAATTGTTAGGCACTTTTTTAGTCCGGGAGTCAGATAAATTCCACAAATTTCGCTCTTTATGGGACACTGAAGTGTGAATTTTCTTTTTAAAATTTTGGGATATTCTGTAACAATGAGAGTGAATGGTTATGTTGGAAGAGATTGTACTTCATGGAAATTGTTTTAAAGGAGGTTATGTAATTAAAATCCACAAATGTTTTAAAGACCTGTAACGCAGATGACAAACATCAGAAGAACAGTTCTGTAAACATAGTGCTAGTAGAATTGCCAGAGAACAACTTTGTTGATTGCACATGGTACTTCGGTTCCAAAAGACAGCAATGTTTAATCCCAGAACTCATGCTGCTGGAATAAGGAACAGTATATATAATCTGAAAACTGTTTTTGTCTCAATTTATGTAGTTTCACACATGATATTTAACCTCAATTTCTTTGCTTTGTAGTGTTTAAAATGAATGCCTTGACTGTAAACACATTACTCAAGGAAGAAACTCAGACATGAGTGACGTGGGGAGGGCATGTTTGTCATGAGAAACACACATGTTGTCTGGACATTTGCAGTTATCTGCATCAAAGGAATGCATGACACCAATTCTTTCAATTTCAGGACTTAATGTTGACTACAGCTTTTAAAACTGTTGGTAGACACAATGAATTTCTAAAATGCCAGAGCTTGAATAGCTTTTTGGAGATGACATGACTAATTTTATAAATTAACAAATTGCAGCACAAAGAGTTTAGATAAGTTATAGAGAATGCCACAGGAGCTAAACTAGAAGTCATTTAAGTCCAGTGAGATGTCAGAAAAAAAAAGATGTCTCATACATCAGTAAAGGCAGGACATAAGAAATGTATTGGAAATAAGAATGAAGAAAGAAAATTAAAGAAAAATTAGACATACATATTTAACAATCTAATTTCCTATAAAATGAGACAGTTTCTGAAGAGTTATGAAGAGTGGAACCGATTTAGGATAGAAGAGGTGGAAAAAAAGAAATAGTATTCCATGTCTGACCTTTTCTGGAACCAATTTGAGAAACAGTTTTAAAATTCCATGAAAAAGTAAACAATTTTTATTTTTTGTTGTTGTTTTTCATTCCAGTATAGTGAGTGTAAAAGGGTACATATTAGAAAGCCTTGACAAAGTTTTCAGCAACTAACTTTCAGAGCAGATTATCCATTTGGAAACTGGTCAATCAGTCCTTTTCCAAATATGTATGGTGGTTGTTAGTAATTCTACAAATTTCAATCAAAATAAGTTTATGTTGATCTACTTTTTTAAAGGAGTACATATGCTAGCTTGGCTATCTGAGAACAAACTTCTATCATTTGGAATAACAACTGCAATTGTTATCTACACTCTCAAGTAATAGAACCGGGCTGAATAATACATGACCCTCAGAAACAGTTTAAATCAATAGAACTACATAAAAGGCTGCTTTGAGAAATAATGAGATGCTCACTATTGAGATGGGAAGGCCTAGTTTGGACTGGATAAAGACAATTTTCAAGAATTGAGTATGTGATTGAACAATGAAATTGGTGACCCTGAGGTCTCAGAATCCAGACTTTACCTTGGTTGAACATGTTTTTAATACAAGCTTTTAATGTAAGGTAGTAATAAATAGTGATAATTAGATCAAATAAAATAGCAAATATAAAAGTTTCATTAAACCAACTGAGTGAAAAGTAGATTTTTATGAGTAGAATATAAAATCTTCCTGAAATAGTCATAATGGATTTGAATACATAAGAAAACTTGTGTTAAAATAATACTTTATAAGCATAATATGACTTATTAATAAAAGATGTCTGCCACCATCTACGCTGTAGTCCAATAACTTCCTAACTGGCTGAGCTGAAAAGATACTGGCTGCTCAAACTGACTTCAAAGAGTTCTTTGCTGCAAACAGCTCTTACCTTAGGATGGTCAGTTCTCTAAAATTTACTGCATTGTTACTGCTTATAGATCTGTAATGCAGATCATCTACGGGTATGGTAAAGTAAGATACTGACTCAGTAGGTCTGTGGTGTATTTTTCACAACTTTCTGAGTAATGCTAACAAAGGCTGCTGCTTCACAAATCACATGGTGAGAAACAAGGATTTAAGTTGCAGGTCATGTGTGTGCTTTTCACTGTAAGGGAAGATAAATAAAAATTCATTGCAGGACATAGAGTTAGATTTAAATGTTTATATGGATAATAAAATGTATCTATAATGTCTTTTTAAAAATTAGATACTTTTAGAAAAGTTGTAGACTACTTTGGAAGATTGGACATCTTGGTCAATAACGCTGGAGTGAATAATGAGAAAAACTGGGAAAAAACACTGCAGATTAATTTGGTAAGTTACCTTATTCATATTTATTGCCAAAATCATCTGATAACATGATGTTTATAAAAGAAAATAAATGAAGGTTATATTTTTTTACAAATTAAACATTGACCTACAATATAGAAAAAGCAAATTAGAGAAGGTGGGGGGGAAAGCATTTCCTCTTACAATTAGGAAGACATTTGAGACTGAAAATTATTAAAATGGGCCTGTCTTAAAATATTAGGAGGAAATACGAAAAACACATAGTTTGTTGTAACTCAGGGATTGGCATAATCCTACCCGCAGGCCACAAGGGCCATCTGTTTTTGTATGACCTGCAAGATAAATTTACCTTTTTAGATGGTTGAAAAATAATAACATGGATGAATATATAAAATTCAGATTTCAGTGTCATGAAACTTGTACTGGAACACAGCCACTGTCACTGGTCTTGTATTGCCAATGGCTACTTTTATGCTGTAATGAATGGCAGAGTTGAATAATGTAATAGAGACTCTATGGCTGGCAATAGCTAAAGTGTGAACTATCTGACCTTTTACAGAATGAACTTGCCAAACTCTAACTTTCCTTATTTATTTAAAGAATAAATCTTAGTAAATGCTAGAATATGGCAGAAATGTGGTTAAAATAAAAATGTAACTTCTATTTTTTATTTTTATTAGTAAGTGTTTGCAGTACATAATGATTGCATATATTATGGGGAGTTGGTGTGTGTACCAAACACCCCTTATTTCTTTTCTTGTCTCCTCCTCCTCCCATTTGTCCCTGCTCCTTCCATCTGTTGGTGCCCTTCCAATTTGAAAAAGCTCTTTTTCCATTTTTTTTCTTTCAATTCTTTATTTTTTTAGCCTCTTTCGCTCCTTTACCTCTGCCTCTTTTCATCTCTGGACCACATTCTCATTTGAAAAAGATCTCCCTACTTCCTATTATCTATCTTTAATTTTGCTTCTTATACTTTAGGTTTCTCATGTAAGATAAACCATGTGATATTTAAGTGTGAGTGTCTGATTTATTTCACTTAATATTACAGCATCTGTTTACCTATAAATGCCTCAAGTTTCTTCTTCTTTATGACAGAGCAGTACTCCATTGGGTATGAATACCACTTTAATTCATTCATCTGTTGATGAACATATAGGCTATTATGAATTGTGCTGCCATAAACATGGATATTTATGTATCACTGTAATACAATGATTCTTGCTAGAAGGAGAATAGCTGGGTGAAATAGAATTTCTAATTTTAGTTTTTTTGTGGAATCTCCATACTGATTTCCATAGTGGTTGCACTGGTTTACATTTCCACCTACAAGGTAGAAGAGTTCCTTTTTCTCTGAAGACTCACCAAAATTTGCTATTGCCTTATTTCTTCATGATAGTCATTCTTTCAGGAGTAAAATACAATCTCAGTGTTGTTTGAATTTGCATTTCTCTAGTGGCCAGCAATGCTGAACGTATTTTTTCATGTATTTAGTATACTAAATTTGCACTTCTGAGAAGGGTCCATTCATTTCAGTTGCCCATTTTTTTTATTAGATTTTTTATTTGGGAAGGTCTCATTTTTTGTGTTCTTTATATATTGTAGATGTGAGTCCTCTTTCCAAAAAATGATGTTTTTTTTTCCCCATTCTGTATGTTTTCCCTTGACTCTGTTGGTGGATTCCTTTGCTCTGAAGAAGGTTTTTAATTTGAAAAGATCCCTTTTGCTAATTGTCAGTACTATTTCTTGTGCAACTGGGGTTCTGTTCAGAAAGTCCTTGCCTGCCTATGTTTTCAGTGTTTTAACTATTTTGTCTCCCAGAAGATCAAGTATTTCTGTTTTAACATTTAGATCTTTGATCCATTTTGAGTTTAGCTGAATAGATAGGGAGATATATGCGTTTAGACTCAATCTTCTGAATGTGGATGTCCAATTTCCCAGAATTATTTGTTTAAAAGTGTGTGTTTTAGGCCCCTTTCTCAAAGCCAAATGGCTGAATGTACGTGAGGTCATTTTTGCTGTTCCATTGATTCACATGTCTGTTTTTGTGCCAGTACCATGCTCTTTTTATCACTATAGCTTTGTAATATGACTTCAAATCTAGGATTATTATGCCTCCTGCTTTATTTCTACTACTCAGGATTACTTTTGCTATTCTGGGTCTTTTCCGATTCCATATGAACTTTATGATTGCTTTCTTTAGATCTGTGAAAAATACTGTTGATATTTTGATTGGGGTGGCATTAAATCTATAGATCAGTTTTGGAAGTACAGCCATTTTGACAGCCAATATTGGTTCTGCCTATTGAGGAACATGGGATATCTTCAATCTCTTTTTTTCAGAATAATACAGTTTTCATTGTGGAAGTGTCATTGGGTAGGTTAATTCCTAAGTATTAAATTTCTCTTAATGCTAGTATGAATGGTATTATTTTTACAATCTTTTTCTCAGTGAGTTAATTATTAGTGTACAGGAACACTATTGATTTTTATGTGTTGATTTTGTATCCTACTACATTGCTGAATTTGGTTATTAATTTTAGGGGGCATTTGGTGGAATTTTGGGGGTCATATTCAGAGGATCATGTCATCTGCAAATAACGATACATTGACTTCTTCATACACATATTCTTTTTATTTCTTTCTCTTGCCGGATTGCTCTGACTAGTGTTTGGAGGACTATGTTGCAGTGGTGATAAGAGGAATCCTTGTTTAGTTTATGTCTTTAGGAGGAAGGATTCATTTTCTCCCCATTTAATATAATGGCAGTAAGTTGGTCAAATGAGTTTTATCAGTCTGAGATAAAATCCTTCCATATGTATAATCGTCAATGTTTTTATCATGAAAAGATGTTGGAATTTGTCACAGGCTTTTTCTGCATCTATTGAGATGATGATGTGATTGCTGTCTTTGCTTCTGTTTATGTGATATGTTACATTTATTGATTTGAATTTGTTGCACCACCCTTGAATCCCTAGAATGAAGCCTGCCTACTCATGGTGTATGACCTTTTTGATGATTTGTTGCATTCTGTTTGCTAGCATCTTGTTGAGGATTTTTGCATCAGTATTTATTAGAAAGATGGCCTGTAGTTCATTTTTTTTTATTGGATCATTGCCCGGTTGGGGAATCGGGGTAATGCTGGCGTCCAGGAAAGATTTTGGGAGTACTAATTTCCTTTTGATTTCATTAAAAAGTTTGCAGAGAGCTACTTCCTGTAGTTCTTAGACAATTCAGCAGTTAATCATTCAGGCAGGTCCTGGGCTTTTCTTGGTAGGTTTTTTATTAACTGCTTCAATGTCATGGCTTGCTATTGAATTATTCGGGGTTTTTAAGTCTTCATAGTTCAGGTTTTGTAATTCATACGTATGTAGGAATTTATCCATTCTTCTTAGTTCTCCAAATTTATTGGCATAAAGGTTTGTGAAGTAGTTGCTAATAATCTTCTGGATTTTAGCAGTGTGCATTGTGATTTCACTCTTCTCATTTCTAATTGCATTGATTTGGATCTTTTCTTTCCTTTTTTTTTTTGTTAAGGTTTGCTAAAAGTTTGTTTTCTTTATTCTTTCAAAGAACCAGCTCTTCAATTTATTGATTTTTGTATTTTATTTTAGTATTCATTTCATTGATTTCTGCTCTGATTTTTATAATTTCTTGCACAAGCTCTGGATTTGGATTGTTCTTGTTTTTCTGTCACTTGAGGTACATATTTAGGTTATTTATTTGGGCTGTTTTTCTGATGTGGGCATTAACAGGTATGAACTTCCCTCTTAGGGGACTACTTTGTGTCCCATAAGTTCTGGTATGCTGTACTGGCATTATTATTTAATTCTAAGAACTGTCTTATTTCTTCCTTAATTTCTTTTGTAACCTTTTGTTATTCAAGATTGTGTTGTTTAATTTTCATGCATTCTCATAATTTCTGTGATTTCTTTTGCCATTCATCTTTAGTTTCATTGTACTATAATCTGATAATATGCATCATAAAATTCTGATTATTTTGCATTTATTTAAGCAAGTTTTGTTGAATAGTATGTAGTCTATTTTGCAGAATGTTCCATGGGTGCCAAGAATGTGTATTCTGCTGTTGGATGGCACACTCTGTATATACCTATTAAATCAATTCGTCTAAAGCCTGGGTTCAACTCTGATATTTCCTTATTGATTTTTTTGTCTAGTTTATCTTTCTATTTATGACAGTGCTGATTAAGTTTCCTCAGTAAAATTTCATTAACGTTTCTCTGATTTTTTATGTCAATTATTTGTTTTATGAAATTGGGCATGCCTCTCTTTGGTAATATATGTTTATAATCCTTGTTCTTTCTATTGAATAGTTCCCTTAACCATATGTAGTGTTCAACTTTGCCTCTTCTGATCAGTCTTGGTTTAAAATCTGCTTTGCCTGAAAATAAGATACTATTTTTAGTGTATGAGTTTGGTTTTGGATTAAATATGTTTCTTGTATGCAGCATACCATTGAACTTCGTTGCTTGATTCATTCTGACAATCTGTGTCTTTTGATTAGCAAATTGAGATCATTCGCTTTGATAATTATAACTGAAAAGTATTGATTTATTCCTGTCATATATTATTTTCCTGCTGCTGATTTCCGTTTTTCCCTTCTACTTAACTGCTTGCCCTACCTGGTGCATTCATTGAACCTTGTGGCATTGGCAGCTTTCTAGGATCTCTTTGAGAGTATTTTGAAGTGCTGGTTTGGTGGTTATGAATTCCTTTAGTGATCTTAATCCTTAAAATATCCTATTTCTCCATCAATTTTAAATGATAATTTTGCAGGTTATATCAGTCTGTTGGAAGGGTTTTTTTTTTTTCTTTTTTTCTTTTTTTTTTTTCAGGGCATGAAACTCTTCACTGCAGGCTCTCCTTGCCTTCGAGATTTGTATTGAGTTTGTTGCAATTCTAAAGGTTTTTCCTTTTTAAGTGATTTATTCCTTTCTCTAACAGCTTTTTAAGATTCTGTTCTTGTGTTGGAATTCTGATCTTTTGACTATGTGTCACACAGAGGT